GGGGGGGGGGGGGGGGGAGAGAGAGAGAGGGAGAGAAGAGAGATGAAACGGGCAGAAGTTGAAGCCGTCGTTTGTCCAAGAGTCAGGGGAGCGGGCGAAGAGAGGACGTTGTCGGTGATGCTTGGCTTGTGTTCGTTCTTGTGTTGCCTTCTTGCCCGGTATTTGTCACGCTCATCCGCTAAGTTGCGGATAAGGCATAGAGGACGTCGAATTAGTATCTTGGAACAGATTTTGGATATGATAGTGCTTGCTCTTTTCGGGTGCCACGAGCTTGGTGTTTTGGGATGCATGCGCCTTGTGTTTGTCCTCCCAAGGGAACAAGCGAGATGACGAGCATCGTTCTTTGGGCACACACCACCGCCAGATTTATCGAATTCAATGTTATTGCACCCTGCAAGATGGCGTTGGCCGATTCTAATTCAAGTCAACAACGTGGTTGCTTTTCTTCACAAAATCCTTGTTTTATTGCTTATTGCGATGTACAGCGACCGAGATCTATGCATGCTCTTCGCGTTGTGTTGGCTACAATCCTTGCTTTTGCTGCAATAATCAATGCATAGCGACGGACATCTTTGCCCAGAAGACCGATATCTTCCCGTGGTTCACACCTCACGTGGTTTTTGTTGTCGATTCCAATCTAAATCGAAAACGTGTGGTTGGTGATATAAACCATCTGCATGTAGGTGACGAACGAGATGAGAGGTATCAAGTTCATCCCGGACGGGAAAGTCCTCCTCAACGGCTGGAAGCTGGGCACCAAGAAGCAGGTGCCGTTTTTTTTTCGCGTCCGCCGTGTGAATGTCACCTCAGACTGTCTCTCTCGTAGATTGTGACGTCAGACGACCTGTCGGAGATCTACCTTCGGGGCGTCGCTACAGACAGAGGCAGTGGACTGTGTGGACGCTGAACAAACAATAACTACAAGGTCAAGATTACCACCCTGTCAAAGTCTTCTGTATGATATTTTTCTGTATACAGCTTCGTCGTCTTACGTAGTGCCTCCCTCAACCGGTAAGACTGAGTCTCCCCTCGCCACCGGCTGCCACCTACCTCCATACCATGAGGCGATCCGTCGCCGTTGGGTCTGCCCGCCTACCGTAGATGACACAAGACAACACACCCCCTGAACCGATTTTCAAATATCGATTTCTCAAAAACAGAAAGAGTCACGGCGCCGAAAATGGCGGCGTTGGACCCGTCTCGTCGAGAGCTTTCCAAAAATGTATCGTTTCGTTTATGCATCCTCTTCGTCGTGGAGCAATCGAGCATTGAAAATCGGTCCACGGGGTGTGGTATCTTGTGTCATATACGGTAATCTCTCACACCTTTGGAGGGTCATACGGCTGCTACGCTCAAGTTTCAGCGATCATCCCCCCAAGCTACGGTAGGGTAGTTGACGCGAGTGAGTTTACACGACCATGGCATGACTTCTTGGTTTCGAAGAAACGTTTCACCAGGTGGATGGGGGTGCTCTATGTGGGTGAGTCGTCCTGTGTCATCTTCGGTAGGTGTGCCCGGTTGCACGCCCCCCTTCCGCGTGTGCAGAAGCATGATTGACGCATCTTTTTGCTGCAGGACGTTTTTAGAAAGTAGTCATATTCACAAAAGACTGCCCGTTCGAGGTATAACCACAGTCGAAAGGGATGCAGGACTTTTGCTACAGGACAGATCCTTTTGGAGCAAGAAGCTCAGTTTTCTTTTTCGTCATCATCCATTGTCGGTCGTTTTTTCGCTGTCGGCAGGTGATACCGGGGGAGGATGTGATGGGCAAGATGGGCTTCGAGGGAGAAGGGCTCGGCAAGCCCCTCAAACGCTTGGTTCAGCTGTCCTTCGGCTGCCACTTAATTACTCTTGCCACCCTCATGGCGAGCGTTCCAAGGTAGGAAAACGGCCATCACATTTATTTTCTTGGGTGGGATCTACGGAGAGGCCGGGCGCCGTTGTCGCCGTTATCGGTCCAGTAGCTGTATGTTGCGGTTTCATGTTTTCCGGTGTCGGGCTGCGCGCCTGTGTAGTGTAGGTAGTTTCGTGGCGCGGTTTTTTATGTTTTTTTTTTGTTTTTCTTACATGAACCACCTCTTCCACAGGTGAAGCGTCATTTTCCATCGTTTCTCGGAAGGTCGGGATGTTTTGGTGCAATCGATTTTTTTGTGTGTCCTATCTCCGCCGCTTGTTCCTCCTCGTGTATTATTGTTTAGAAGGTGTAGTCTAAACATAACATGACAGAAAGACCACCCGTTCGAGATATAACCTCAGTCGAAAGGGATGTGGTGAAGTCTTTTCAGTAAGTGGATTGAAACCAACTGGAGACTTGGCTTACTTTGAGTTTGTGTAAGCCTAACACTGAGTTATCAGTAATGCCAGTTGGAGCTGTGTTTTTTTGTCCCTTGGCCACTCTCGAGCTGACTGCGCAAGATGTCCCCGAGCCCCACACCGTTAATTCTAACCTGGGGTAGTGGCGAGGGTGATAGTCCAAGAGCTGTGTGGACACCTGACTTCGAGAGCTGTTGTGTTGGAAAGGTGCTGAACAACTAGACGATATCTGCAAGCTGTCGACGTGCCGATGTTGTTGTTGCGGCTGCCCACGACGAACCTACTTCGACGTGTTGTATCGAGGACCTCTTTCTTCTTCCATACTGTACTGCTCCAAGCCATCTATCTGATTAAAGACACAGGTCTAGCATCCGTCGCTACCATTGTCCCTGTGAGCTACCACACAGCAGGTGATATCATAACGACAAAAATGTTCCCGTGATCGTTTGTTTTCGTTTTGGCTGTTTTTTGTTTGTATTTTTTCTTCCTCCTCGTCCCCCGGTTCCAGGTTCCAGCGGTTAGAAGCAGGTTGTTCCGAGTCCTCGCCACCGCGGTCGACATCGTCATAGCGCAACAACCGAAATGCGGGCACGTTGGCTGCTACTAGCGATAACTCCGAAGAGAGATAGCTCCCGCGCCGATCGACGGGAGGAAGTGGCCAAGATTCTTCATCTGTTTGCAATGGCCAACCATGTACTGTAGTCTAGGCTAGGCCATGTAGACGATACAATTCGCAGCAACGACGCATACAGTACGAGGTGGTAATGCTGTAGGCAGCAAAAAAAACAGAAGTATAGTCTAAGCCTCAGAGTTAGGGTTGTGAACCTTCTAGCCAATCCTGTTTTTAGTTAAGCCTCGTAGACTTCCTGTAACCCTAAGGGTCAGACGAGGCGTATATACACCAGCGCTGGCGAGATTCTTGCACGCTCCAGTAGCTCGGTACAGCGACCTAGGCCTACCCACTGCACAACCTAGCTTGGGGTGTTGGGTTAGGGTTAGGGTTAGGGTTAGGGTTCAGAGGTGCGTTAGGCCTTGTGAGACCCAGCGCCTTGGTGCTGCCTGAGGGCTGGAAACCCGCTGTGGCTTTGGTTTCGTGTCTACCTCCAACCACAACCCAAAAATTGTTGGACTGGCGAGTGCAAGAATCTCGCCAGCGCCGGCGTATGTACGCCTTTCGCCAACGATAATGAACCAATCACTTTCTGAAGTTTCATAGACCATTTTATTTTAGGCGAGGACGTACCGTCAGTTACTCAGTAATTATACTCCACACCACGTCGTAAGCGAACGATATTTTCTGACTTTTTTTGGTCGGGTTGGTGGCAATTGACGTGGTGACACAGTGACTCCGTGGGTGACGTGTGGGTACAAGTAGCACCTGCTTTGTGTAGAGGACGTCAAATATCATGCATATGACGGTGGAGACGATGCGCGTAGTACATAAACAGCGTGGTGGGCACCGAAGACAGGTCGGTCTACATACATGTTGCAGTTGACACGGAAATATCAATCAACATGCGTAGACTATAGTCTACTCTGTTTTGAACGATTAACTCCTGGGGCTTCTTGTCTGTGTGACTTCGGTTGGTGCGTCCGGAATCAATCGTTTTTACCGAAAGGTGGAAGTAAGGACCGATGTCCATTTCCCAAGCTCCCCGGGAGCTTGGGCTCTCCAGCCCAAAATTAGCACAGACATCACACCACGCGCAGCCCCTTGATCGATCGAGTCTCAAAAGCCGATCTCGACACATACAGCGAGTGTCGCGACGCTGCGAGTATCTCTGTGTAGCTGAGACGATTCCAAGACGCCTTGCGATAGTTTGGGCAGCTGCTGCTCCCTGTGGCGCGAGATCGCCGGTACAACGTCTTTCGCATCCGTGGGTGTTGATTTTACCTGTGCGAGAAGGTCCGGCGGTTTGCTTTTTCGCCCCCACGCGCACACACGTCGCGGCCCGCCTACCTCGGCGCGGGCGCTACTTCAGCGCGACACTGCAAAGTTTCTCTGTGTATCTGAGACGATTTGAATTCGTGTAGCCGTGGTTTGGACAGCTGCCGCTCCCTGTGTCGCGAGACGTCATGTGCGACGTCTTTTCACATCCTTGGCTGATTTCACCTGTTCGAGAGGGTCCGGCGGTTTGCTTTTTCGCCAACCGGACCGCGGTTTGCTTTTTCGCCAACCGGACACCCACATCACGGCCGGCCCGCCTACCTCGGCGCGGACTCTGGTCTCTCCACGGGAGGCTGAGTTGTGTCGCTGTGCGATCGCTGTGCGCGCCGCTCTGTGCGATGGCAGCCAGGTGTGCGGTGGTGCCAGGGTCTACGCGCAGCGGGATGCCTGCTGGTTGCCTGCAGCAAGTCGTCTTGCTGTACAGCAGTATGTTCATAAATAAGCCTGTTCTGATATTCCCTGCGAGCAAAACTGCGAGGTGTGTGCATGGGTTGCGTTTTTGCTTCGCGTGTGGCTGAGGGGTTGGGGACGACGTTCCGTGCTTCTCTCTTTAGTGGCGAGACTAACTCGCGTCGGTGTTGGTTATATTGCATGTTCCGCGTGACGGCTTGCTCGCGTCTGCCTACAAGAAGAGACTATGCGTGTGTCTTCTTTTTTTTTGTGCAGAGAGCGCAATCGATATTCCGGTTTCTCACTTTGCGGCGTATTAGCCCGTTTGCGTTTTTGAGTGCGGCCATCACTTGCTGTTGCTATGGGTGGCTCCCATGACATGTGCGTATGTTTGGCCTGGTTGGCGTGGCTTTGGGTGGGCGTTCGCGGGAATGGAGCCGGCCCTCCTCGGGAGTCCTCTCAGCGGGAAGCGCCTGGGAATTTTCCACTGGTCCTACGGGGTCCTGCCGCTCGTTCTTTGTTCCAGTTCTTGCCGTTGTTTTTTTTTTTTTTTTT